GGCCGCTTTCTGGGGCACGTGTGGCTGTGCCTCACCCGCCACCCAAGGACGAGGTGATGGGGCAGGGGTGGGTGTTGGGGGGGTGCTGGTGCCTCGACTAATCCTGGGGCTCTGTTTTCCTGCAGACTCCTCCCAGTCGCCTGCGAAGCCTTCAGAGCTGAACAACCTCAACGTGGTGAAAGCTCCTGTAGCAGGAGGGTCGCTCAAGCAACTGAACGTGCTTCCCGAGACGTGCCCGATGCTGCTGGACGTGCGGAGCGAGGCGGAAGCGCCGCCGCCTCTCCCGCCCAGCGACCGCGCGCCCAAGTCGCGCGACTCCCTGCACGGGTTCCAGCCCCCGAGAATCTCAGAGGACTGAGCGAACAGACTTGCCACGTGCAAATTAACAAACGTGCTATTACTTTTTTTTTTTTTGCACAGAATACATGGGCTACTTACTTCTACCTCAAATCCTGAACTGATGCCCTGTCACAGGCAAACAGCTGAGGTATGAGCAACCAGCTTGTATGGGGAACAACCTCCTGTTCGAGCGTCACCTGTTTGTACATACTTTAAAACTTCCCTGAGAAGTATGAAGCGTTCAAAAGTTGACTTGCATATGAAGCACATAAATGCAAGGGATTATTGTGTAAAGAGAAAAGTATTTGATACAATTGTATATAAGAGTTTTCATATATAAATATATATATATAAATATATATATATATATTTATTTTACAGAGGCTATTTTAATCTTTAGTGCATGGAAAACTGAGTGAAATTTTACATTTTTGGCAATATTGTTCTCAGTATCAGGTTGCTGTTAAACTTTATGAGAAAAATAATCCTGGTGCCTTAAATGCATAAGCAGAACTTTAAAAAGCAGACTGTTCTAAAGGGATTATCCTTTTTTCAATGGATGGTCCTTTAAATCAAGTATCAATTGGGTTACTTAGCACAAATTTCCTTCCCCTTTGTAATTTATTGCACTTAACACATTTAAGCAGAGATCAGTTAGTTTAAATGAAATTTCTAGCAAAAAAAACAAAAACAAAACCACCCCACAAGCTATTAGATATTATGTAGCAACCTGTCTTTTTTTTTCCTGCTTGTGGATGAACTTAAGTTATATTATTTTTCAGAACTGCTTAAAAATTAATAGCTGAACTGTGACTGTACCTCTATGTTGAGAGGGGCCCACGCAGGAAGCCCTGTGCTGCAGTCAGGCACCTGCCCCCGTCTCCCTGCGGCCCCTCCGGAAGGGCCTGGAAACCACCCGGCCATTTGGCACCGACACCAGGTCGGGCTCCCGGGCCGGGCGCCGCGCGGGCCCTTCCTGGGCTGGTTCTGCCCGTTTCTCCTGCAGCGCAGCAGGGAGCTGCCTCGTTGCACGGCCTCCCCCGCGCTGCAGCCAGGCCGTTTGTGTGAAATCATCTGCTCGAAACGGATCCTGCTGCTCTGTTCAGCAGTTCCAGGCTCTGCAGAAATAAACTCACTGATTTAGAAGGGAAACGGGCTGTTGATGTCAGGAATACTCTGTTAAATGGAAATGACCCAAGTATTTTTATGCGGTTTTTTAAGTTCATCCATGAATAGGGGAAAAAAAATACCCACATTGGTCGAACAGATCCTTGTCATTTATAACTTCACTATGAAGCTCACTATTTATAGAAAGGCTGCTTTCTGTCGGTGTTGGTACCTGTGGATGGAGGACTCCTTTCCAGTTATTTGTAATTTGAGTTCTGCTAATATAAGGTTGCTAAACTCTGGTGTTGACTACTTTGGGGAAAGGTTTAACGGGGGGGAGGGTTGTTACTTTTTTTCCATAGGAGGAACTCAAATGCCAGTTCCACTGAAGCAGAGTCCAGCAGAAACCCACCTTTGCTAACGGTACTGTGGCTAAAAACAAGCAGCAGGAGGAAGGGCAGAAACAGGACATCGTGCCCAGCTCTGCCAGAGTCCTACCAGGTTTAGGGGCTGCCAGGAAATGCTGAAAAGGGCCCGGGGTACCCATTTATTTAATTCCAAGTGGCCTCTGTCCAACCTTGCCTTGAGGAGGCAACGTCTCCCTCGCGGAGGACACGGCTGGTCTGGGGCGAGCGGCTCGAGACGAGTTTTGCTGTAGAAGAGGTGCCTGGAGCTGACCCTGCTGGACAAGGCCCAGCGCGGCCGGGCCCCTGTCTCTGCCGGTGTCTGACAGGGACACATTTGCACTTGGAGGCAGGTGGCCAAGTACCGTGAGCGCCGAGTGCATTCCAAGCACAGGAAAGGGATGCTAGGAGAGTCTAAACCGAGCACGTTTTTCCTTCTACTGCAGGGAAAAGTGCGTTTCAGAGCTGACCCACCAGGTGAAACAGTGGAACCGGGAGCAGGGGGGAATATGGGAATGATTTCCTAGCCTCGTTTTGCTGGCGGAAATGTCACCACCATTGCAGATATGAAGCATATTTGCCACATTAACATTTGAAAATAATGTTTCTGAATAAAGTTAACTGCCTAACATTAGGACTTCCACTAAATATGTGAATTTGCTGCTTCTAAGAGGCAATGTGAAAGAGGAAGTATTACTTTTGTGTACAAAGTTATTTATTTATTAGAAAATTTGGTACAATGTTGTACATTGAAAAACATGTAAGATATTGAAGTGTCTAACAAATGGCATTGAAGTGTCTTTAATAAAGGTCCATTTATAATATTACAGCTTTTTTTGTTGAGTGAGCTTTTGGGAGGTTCAATGGAAAACTAAATAAAGTTCTTACCCGTTGCTACACCCTGTTCTGTCTGTCTCTAATGAAAATGTCCAATAGCTGCTGGTGAAAACAACCCCCTGCCTGAGCACTGGGTGCTGCAGATCTGGGTGAGATGTGAGGTCTGACGGGGGGTGCATCAAAAGCTGCAATAAAAACTCAAGAAATAACATTGCCAATAGATCAGCTGCACAAGTGCCTGGCACGTGCCCTAATCCTGGGTGGGTGCATGTGTGCTTAAGTACGGAGGAAAATGGGGCCAGGGCTGCAGCAGGCGTGAGCACGGCTGGCCCTTTACATCTTTTCCCAACCCTTCCTGGAAATTCCAGAGGCAGCTTCTGAGATAAGCTCAAATTCTTCCTTTAACTAAAATCTCTGTCCAGTTCCTGTATATTTAAAAAAATGAAAAGTATCTCTGCTTCTAAATTATAACTATGGGTATCAAGTGTATCCTTGAGTATACTCAGCTAACTCCATTAATACGTGTAGGAGTTAAAACTTTTGAAACGGAAAAGCAAGAGCCTTTAACAAGCTGGTGCCTGGTGTGAGATTCAGATTCTGTTGTTCCAAATTATCCCAGTAATGGAATAAAATAAAAATTTCTAGTTTCCTATATAGCTGAAACTTGAGCAAAAAGGCATCAGGGAAAAACATTCACACACTTTTTTTTAGGTTTTCCCTCCCCGCAGTCCCATAACTAGAGCTTCATTCTGAGCCGGACTGGCCGCCTGGGGAGCACTGAGGTGCAGCCGGGACGGGGCTCTCACCTGGTGCTGCTGGGTGACGCTGTCCTCGGGTGCCCGCGGGAACCGCGGTGACACGGGGAGCCCCGGGCGGCTCCGCGGCGCCCTGGGCCACTCCAGGGACACCTGAAAACAACTACGAGGGGGAGCGTAAAGTGGCAAAAGGGAAAGGAGGGGGTTTGGGCTGCAGCCGGGTTTGCTCTCACCGCTAGCGCAGAGCGGGGGCAGCGCTGCAGGGTCCCCAGGCGGGTCTCACCTTCCCTTACCAAGCGATGCTTCTAGCTTGGCAAATGGCGTCATGAGCAAAAGCTTTTTTATTTTTTTATATATATGTGTGTGTTATTTTTCTTATATATATATATATATAATTTATATT